GCATTGGTAAGTTGATCCGACCAAATTTAAGTTTGATGTTTTAATTTTACTGAAATAGAAAAAATTGATATCAACAAAGATTGAGAGGGAGGTATAAGATATAATTTATCCTAATAAAATGAATACTAAAAGAGTGCAATATAAATAAATGAATAAATAAATGTATTTATTATTAACTATATATAGTTGAAAATTTGAAGTTTAGATATACTAATAATAAAATTAGGATCAACGAGTAAGGATACCTTGGACCTAGGCCCAACCGGACAAGGTTTCATTACTAGGATCCTAGACTTATACCAGACACATCAAGTCCATCTCACACCCCAAGTCCTAACGTAACTTAAGGACTCCAACATGATTCGACACACATTGACACTTACCAAAATCTGACTACTAACAGGCTTAAAGCATATGGATTTGACCTGATTGGTCGATTCCACCCCTGGCAAGTTGATTGGACCAGATTCAAATTTGATGTTTTAATTTTACTAAAATAGAAAATTTGATATCAATAAAGATTGAGAGGGAGGTATAAGACGTAATTTACCCTAATAAGAGCGATACCAAAAGTAGTAACATATAAATAAATGAATATATCAAATATTAACTATATATAGTTAATTTTCTGAAAGTTTAGATATACTAATAATAAAACTAAGACTCAACAAGTAAGGATACCTTGGACCTAGACCCAACCTAACAAGGTCACATATAAGACCCTAGACCTAGACTAAACCTGTCGGGTCCATGTCATAGCCCTAGTCCTAATGTCGCATAATGACTCCCACCTGATTCGGTACACACTTAGGCCTACTTAGATCTGACTACTAACATGCTCAAATAATGCAAACTGACATAATTACGTTTGTCGATTTTGGCCCTGGTTAGTTGATCGGACCATAATCGAGTTTGATGCTTTAATTTTATTAAAATAGAAAGATTTGTTATCTAGAAAAATAGCAAGGAATGTATAAGTTGTAATTTACCCTAATAAAAGGGGTACTCAAACTAGCATAATACAAATAATTGAATATATCAATTATTAACTATATATAGTTAAGTTTTTGAAGTTTAGATATACTAATAATAAAATTAGGGCTCAACGAGTAAGGATGTCTTGGACAAGAGTCCAACTTGACAAGGTTTCACATCTAGGACCTATGTCATAGCTCTAGTCCTAATGCAGCTTAAGAAATCCATCCTGAATAAAGAGAAACTTATCCTTACCTAGATCTACCTACTAACATGCTTAAAGAATGCCGATTTGACCTGATTGGGTCTGTGAAATCAGGCACTAGTCAGTTGATCGGACCAAATTCATATTTGATGTTTTAATTTACGGAAATAGAAATTTTTGATATCAACAAAGATGGAGAGGGAGGTATAAGATGTAATTTACCCTAATAAAATGGATACTAAAAGGGTGCAACATAAATAAATGAATATATTAATTATTAACTATATATAGTTGAATTGTTTAAGTTTAGATATACTAATAATAAAATTAAGATCAACGAGTAAGGATACATTGGACCTGGGCCCAACCTGACAAGGTTTAATAACTAGGACCCTAAACCTAGACCAGACCCGTCAAGGCCATGTCACAGCTCAAGTCCTAATGCAACTTAAGGACTCCAGCATGATTCGACACACATTGATACCTACCAAAATCAGAATACTAACAAGCTTAAAGAATGAGAATTTGACCTGATTGGGTTCATCGATTCAGGCACTGGCGAGTTGGCTAGACCTGATCCAAATTTGATGTTTTAATTTTACAAAAAAAGAAAATTTGATATCAAGAATGATTGAGAGGGAGGCATAAGATGTAATTTATTCTAATAAATGCAATACATAAAGCAATACAATACAATACAAATAAATGAATTTATCAATTATTAACTATATATGGTTAAATTTTTGAAAGCTTAAATATACTAATAATAAAACTAGGACTCAACAGGTAAGGATACATTGGACCTAGACCCAACCCAACAAGGTCACATCTGAGACCCTAGACCTAGACTACACCTATCACATCTGTGTCACAACCCTAGTCCTTATGTTGCATAAGGACTCCTACATGATTCAATAGACATTTAGGCCTACCCAAATCTGACTACTAGCAAGCTTAAAAAATGTAGATTTGACTTAATTGGGTCCATGGATTTAGACCTTGGTCAGTTGATCGGACCATATTCAAGTTTGATGTTTGACTTTTACAAAAATAAAAAGATTTGATCTCATGAAAGACTGGGAGGAAGGTATAAGATGTAATTTACCCTAGTTAAAGGTATACTAAGATAGTGGTACAACAAATAAATGTGTATATTAATTACTATATATATGGTTACATTTTTTAAAGTTTACATATCCTAGTAATAAAACTAGGGCTGAATGGGTAAGGATACCTTTGACCTGAACCCTACCCGACAAGGTTTCACATATACCAGACATGTTTGTCACAAGTCTAGTCCTAATGCAGCTTAATGACTCTAACATGATTCAGTACACATTTATGCTTATGCAAATCTGATTACTAACAAGCTTAAAGAATGCTGATTTGACCGATTGGGTTCGTGGATTCAGTCCCTGGCGAGTTGTTTGGACCAAATTCGAATTTGATGTTTTAATTTTACTAAAATAGAAAAATTTGATATCAAAAAAGATTAAGAGGGAGGTATAAGATATAGTTTACCCTAATAAAAGCGATACTAAGAGTAGTACAATACAAATAAATGAATATATAAGTTATCAACTATATATAGTTAAATTTTTGAAAGTTTACATATATTAATAATAAAACTACGACTCAACTGGTAAGGATGCCTTTGACCTAGACCCAATCTGACAAAGTTTCACATCTAAGATCTTAAACCTAGACCAGACCCATCAAGTCCCTACCACAACTCTGGACCCTGACTCAAGTATGCACCATCCATCTTCATGAACAGACGGTCGGTGGAGAGGAGCTCTTCTTCCGCTCGACACAGCAGCGTAAAACAACACTTCATCTCCACCATCCATTGATGACTGCAATTGGCGAATGGCTGGTATGTGCAAGTGTGTATAATATAAGGATTTTTATTTCCTCTCTCTTCTTTTTATTTTTCTTTTGTGTAGGCGCCTAAATTTTGAAATTTGGATAATGTGGCCGAGGGCTTCACCGCCCTTGCCACTAGGCTAACAACCTAAACCCCATACAATTTTGGTGGATGGGATAGGCCCTATGAGATGAGATGAACATATCAAAAGTTGGCCTACAGTTTCATTTTGATATCTTTTCATTTTTTTATTGAACTTTTATAAGCTATTGGAAAAATATCTTATTATCTCCTATTTTTAACTTCTATATCTCATCTGACCTAAAAATTGAATAGTAAAATGACTACATCTTTTCTATTTTCAAACCCTTTTGACCATTTGACCTCAACAACTTATAAAATGACTCTATCTCTCGCTTTTTCTAAAACTCCATCTCTCTCACATCATCGTCTCTCTCTCTCAATTTGGATAGAGTGCATTTATACAAGGCGTTCATAGTAAACAATTAAAGGCACAACTCCATATCCTATGAGAAGATGTAGTTTCAGTGTTTGAAACCTTTACCGTCCCTTGAAAATCCGCTCCCACTATAGTTATAAATTAAGGCTGAAAAAATGGCGCATATCAAATGTATTATAAATACTTGTAAATATTGAAAATAGACTGTCCAAATAATGTGTTCCATGCATTATTTTTAAGACTTGAAATCTTTTTCGTTCTTTCTTTTTCATATCCAAGTCGAGGTGATCAACTGGGGAGTTTAACATCAGAACAATCTTTTCGGATAGATTTTTAAACCTCATATAAACTTTTCCCTTTTATAAATAGGGTTCCATGATAACATGATAATAGTACCATATTATTTTAATTCTTCAAAGATCTGATATTATTTTTGGGAATCCCAAATTCATAGATCAGAGATGGAAAATGAATTTACAGTGATTTGGAATGCATTCGAGGTCCCAAATCTATGAAAAACTAGGACACACGCTTCCTAAATCCCTCAAAAACCAAAGCTGACACCTGAGTGGGTTGACTCACCAAGAACATTTCCTTTTTTTGTTTATGTTGAAACCGTGTACTGATATCTCTTATTTTAAGAAACTAATTGGGAAGAATACATTTGTAATATATTTAGGAAATTAGTTTTTATCCTTGGGCAATCTCGAATTATCTATATAATCCTTGGTAAATGAAATAATGAGCACAAGAGTATAGCCCTTCAACAATGGATATTGGTCCAAGAGACCGAACCACTGAAAGCTTCTTCTCTTGTATCAATAATGAGCACAAGAGTATGCCTCTTTTATTTCTTCAGTTTAATATTTGATTAGTGTATATACTAAGCTTTGGCGGGAGCGTTACCGTACACTTGCTTCCTTGGGTGAAAATGCTACTTAAAAAAATTTGAAATTTTGGGATCCGCACAAGAAAATGGATTTGGGTTCTTAATACTTGGATATAATTGTCCAAAATTGGGATGGCCTGTGTTCAATTTTAGGATGTTACTTTCTAAGGGCATTTGCTGCTTTTTTCTTCCTTTTCTTTGAAGTTGGTAATTAGGTTGATGAGGATACAACCTCATATTCTAGGGTCATAAAACACCCTTAAGTTGTGTTTTGCCTGAGAGAGAGCAACGGAACACTATGCATAAAATTATTTTAGATATTTGATTGCAGCGACGACACAAACAACAAATTATTCATAGCTGCATCCTACTGGAGAACCAGTATCAACACCATTTTGCTACTAAAGCATGTTAAAGGAATCCTATACAAAATTCAATTTCTACATCCAAAAGCCATGGACACAAGGAGGAGTTCAATTAACAAACACAGAAGATTGCCACCAAAGCATGTTAAAAGGACTCCTCTACAAAATTCAAGTTCTACATCCAAAAGCCATGAACACATGGGGAAATACAATTCATCATCATAAAAGATTGCAACCCATGAAGAGAAATTCACTGCACTTCATCAAAACACCACAGATAAGCATGCATGTATATTTTGGAATGTTCAGTTGTATGAATCGAATTTCGAATGCAGAGTTGCAATTGTCAACAACTAACCAATCAATCCCTAGCGCGATTCTTAGTTAAGTATGCATGTACAGTAGAACAAAAGAAAAGGTAGTTCATCCAAACACACTAGATCCAAGTTCCCCACCTGATCAGAAAAAGCTAGACCTAAATTAAGCAAACCATAACCCAATATTAAGAACAATTTTGGTTGGCACTGGAGAACTGAGAGGCTTGTAAATCAGCTGCTTTCTCTGAGACAAGAGCCTGGATTAGCAAAGTCTTGACCTTCCAAGATGAGTACGGAAACGGCTTGCGAGCATAGGAGTTGAGAAGGGCAGCCGATGCTTGCTTCAAGAGACGATGATACGCATTCCCAATATCATCGTTCCTTTCAGTGGCTTCGAGCAATGTGAGATCTGCTCTGTATCGATCGAGAGCTCTTGATCCGAATACCTTTGATACTGATGATGTTAAAGGAACCATTTTTGGCCATGTCTCCCTTCTACTACTCCAATACCTGATAAGAAATGCTTCAAAGATGTTACTGAATTTTTTAATTATTTTTTAATGAGAAACAAGATGCAGTTGAACCTCATAGAGGTGAAAAAGCCTAATGCAAGTTGAATTGGCCTATTTTGGATCTGTGATGTTAAAGGAACCATTCTTCACCGTGGCTCCCTTCTGCTACCCATAAACATGCTAAGAAATGCTTTAAATATGATTGAATATTATAAGAAAATTTATGATGCAATTTGAATTATCTTAGTTCGACACTTGTAGTAATTTTTTGGATTGGTTATTATAACAAAGAGAAAACACTGCGTAGGAAAGTCACTCCTCAAATTTTATTGGAAAATGTAGCCCCAGCATTGGAAAACCTGCAAATCAAACTTCTCAAACTCCAAAAATCATGGATCCAGAAAAAAAATAGGGTTGCAAGCCTAAAAGTGGTCTATCTCATAATAGGTGTTCTGATCATTCATTTTAGGCATGCACAATCCACTAAAATGTGCATTATATTTTGAGCTTCAAATGCTATAAACAAAAAACAAAAATAGATTTGCAAGCCACTGCAAGAGTTATCAATGCCATTACAGGAGTTTCCAATAGGGACGGACCGGGCTAATGATCTTAACTCAATCGGGCCTGAGCCACAAGTGGAGGTTCATTTTTGTGCCCCAGCGGGCCCGGGCCTAAGCAAAAAAAGAACTCAGACAAGGCTTGGCTTGGCCCGACCCATTAACAGCCCTATTTGCATCTCTGTCCCTAATGTAGCCACTTTCTCATAAACAAGGAAAAATAAAAACCTATTGTAAAAATTGAAACATGGTCATCTTGCCCTAAAATTATAAGCCATGGTCTTAGATGTCTGCATAAAAAAGTGCCCATTTATGCCTTGAAAATTAAAGAACCCTACATGTGGGCAAACGTTATTCTCCAATTTCCCTTTCTCAGGATTATCCTGAATTTTCTAAAATTCCATTTTAACTTGTAATAGAAAATTACTCCTTAAGAGAGATCAGCAAATGGGAGATTGGTAATTCTACCTCTCTCCCTCTCCTATTTCCTTATTTCTTTTTTTCAATGAAATGGGTTTCTATTGTTATATAAGATTTTATTTTTTTTTCAAGGAAATAGGTTTCTATTGTTATATTAAGAAACCAAAACGGCCATGTCGTTCATCTAACAAAAACACATTGATATTGAAATTCGCTTTCCCAAATTCTAAGGCTTTTCTCACCATTCAAATAAAACCACTCCATATTCTCATTGTTTATTCCCAATGTTGGTGGTCCCCGAGTTAAAGAAAGTAAAAAAAAAAGCAATGAAATGCGGATCTTCTACCTAAATCATTCAACAAAAAAAAAATGAAATAAGCAATGAAACAGATAACAGCCTCTTTTTTACCCTCGACATACCAAAAAACAAAAGAAATTGTGGGCTTCATCAGGACAAATTTGTAAAGCAAAAAATAGATCGAGAGAGAGAGAGAGAGAGAGAGAGTGAGTGAGAAGGATTTCTGTACCAATGGAACCAATATATAACCAAGAAGAATAGTGAGTTTCACATATGAA